TAGACAGGAACCTATTTCTAAACCGAAAATTCCGGCAGCAGCAGCAGCTCCAGCAGCAGCAGCTTTAGCCCCAGCAGCAGCAGCAGCATTACCAGCTGAAATTGACGATGAAATCCTTGAAACAGTCAATAAAAACATGAAAAGCTGGATTATTATTAAATCATTTAAAGAAAAACCCTTAAGTGTTAACTTGGAATAAAGAAGGTGAAATTAGTTATCGAGGTCAAAAAATTCCCGATTCTAACATTGTGGATTTAATGACTGATAGTATGAGATCTCATTCTCTTAAAAATCATCCGGTTCCTACAGGATTAGAACAATTTGCTCAAGCTTTAAAAGAGACGCGTACTCCTCTGGAATACGTGAGCAATGGAAACCTTATAAAAGCCATGCAGAGACCTGGAAAAATCAGTACTCCTAAAAGTCAAGAAATAGACGATAGTGGATTTTCTTCCTTTTTTGACACTCCATTGAGTAGACCCATAGAAGATCGAGGAACCGTCATTAAAAAATCCATTTCAACCCCTGTAGGGACAAGGGTAGGATCCAGATACAGTCCTTTAGCTCGAAAGAAATTAAAAGCCGAAGCCGAAGAAGACTTAAGAGCTAAACAGGAATCAAAAACCCAACTGGAAAAAGAAAAGAAATTAGGACAAATCGATGAAAATTGGCTTTCATTACCTAAAATATGAAAAAGAAACAAGTGGAAGATATTTTAAAAGAGATTTATTATGATCTTAAAAGAGGCTACGGAGGAATGCAAGCTTTGTATCGTCAGGTCAAACCTTTAGGAATTTCCCTGAAAAAGATTCGAGAATGGTTAAAAGAGCAAGACACTTATACCTTACATAAACCCATTCAAAGAAAATTCCGGAGACAACAGACTAAAGTGACAGATATAGACGAACAATGGCAATTAGATTTAGCAGATGTGTCCAGTTTAAAGAAACATAATGATGGATATACGTTTTTATTGTGTACCATTGACGTCTTATCTAAATATGCCTGGGTAGTGCCTTTAAAACAGAAACAGGAAAAGAAATGATTCGAGGATTACAAGAGATTTTTCAACAAGACGGTCGACGTCCCGTCCGCATTCAATCGGATCAAGGAAAAGAGTTTACCAATCGAGAATTCTTACAAGCTTTTAAATCCATTCATTTTTTACCACTCGTAATACGGACACTAAAGCCAGTATCGTGGAACGATTTCAGCGTACACTCAAAGCACGCATTTGGCGTTATTTCACTCGTCATAAAACCAGACGGTATTTAGAAGTTTTACCGGATTTAGTGTATGCTTACAATCATACCTATCATTGGAGTATCAAAAGAGCACCAGTTCAAGTGAATGCTTCTAATGTGTTAAAAGTCTGGAAAACTTTATATGGGACATCTAATCAGAAACAGTTTCTTAAACCTCAGTTTAAAGAAGGAGATCAGGTACGCATCAGTAAAGCCAAACGCACATTTGAAAAAGGATATTTACCTAACTGGACCACAGAACTGTTTACTATTTCTAAAAGAGTTCCTGGAAGGTATCCTTACGTGTATAGAGTGCAAGATTATAACGGAGAGGAATTAGAAGGGACTTTTTACGAAAAAGAATTACAAAAGATCATTAAAAAAGACGACGTGTACGAAGTGGAGGAAATCTTGGGGTATAAAAAGCGACGCGTAGGGAAAAAAATCATTCAAGAAGTCAAAGTTCGGTGGAAAGGATATCCTTCTAGTTTCGATTCATGGATTCCCCAAACGGATCTCATCAAATAACTCCTCATTGGAAATTTTGTGGAGAGAATGTTCCTCGAGAAGAAATCGTTTATTTCGCACAATTATTTATCTGTGTATCTCTCATCGTCACCAGTGTGGTCATGTTAGCTTTACACGATCCTAATCGAGAATATTGGATGGTATGTGTCAGTTCTTCAGTGGCTTATATCATGCCTAGTCCTACGATGATGCATCATACACCTACCCCTAAGAAGACCACGAATGCACAGGGTTAATGTCTAAAAAAAAAATAGATACACCACAGAGTATATATAGAATGGGGAAACAACAAAGATTCATTTCTGATCTGACTGAGGATAGAGCAACATGGATTTTTTAAGCTCAGAGTATCGTTGGAAAATGCAAGAGCATACAGGTTCCACTAAAAAAGGAGAATGGATGAAAAACAAAGATGAATGTATCCAAGATTTCATGGATAAGAATCCGGGAGAAACAGGAGTCAATGATGTGTACCTGTATAAGAGAATCAAATTACCGGACCATCAATGTGGACAACTTATAAAAGTATTATTAGGGTCATGGCAACCCCAGTATCAGGAATTCAAATGGAAAGTAAAATATGTTTTCGCTCACAAAACAGAGGGACCAGCAAAGACCTGTATTCAAGGGAAATGGATGAAAGAAATCCGAAATTGTATCAAAGATTATGTAAACAAAGTGCTCAAAGAAGGATACGACATCATGGACTGTGCTTGTGAAACAGAATATTTGTACATGAGGAGAACTATTCCTATTCAAAAAGAATTATGCCAAAGTATTCCATGTTTGTTACTTTAATGTTACTGTGAATTAGAAAAAAAAAAAAAAACCTAGAAAAAAAATCTTATTTTCTCTCTCTCTCTCTCTCTCTCTTCAACTGTGTATAACATTTTTGTTACAATGACGTCACAATGGCTAGCTAGCTGTGACTTGAATCTCTGCCAAGATTGTGTATTGCCTGTGTATTGCCTGACTCAGCATAACGTAAATAAAACGTACACAGTAGTATCTCAGTAAAAAAAAACGTAGGTCCAACACATTTTTGCACACCACCCTATAAATAAAAGGTATATAAAGCTTAGCTTTGAGTACACTGCGCTCAATCATGATTTTTACGTGGAGACTGATGTATTTGATTGACGTAGAAAAGTATTACTGTCATTACTGTGATAGGAAAATGATCCATGCGCGTACATTTACGGTGTATGATTATCCCGGATGGCATCACAGAACTTATCGAATTTGCGAGCATTGTAAAATGCCTTTTCCTCACTGGTTTGTGGATGATCCCCCTTCTATGGAGACCTGTGGATGTAACTGGTGCGTGAAATATTTCACATGGAAGTACGGGGCAGAGAATATGGTGCCCCTATGGGTCAAAGTAACGGGAAAGAGAGCTTTAAAGAAATGCCTGACCTGCTGGGAGGAAAATACGGAGGGGAGATGGAAGTGTCAACAATGCCGACAGTATCCTTGCTGTGGGAAATGTGTCGAGAACTTTGTCAAGACTTGCTACAGACTTTGTCCATTATGTAGATATGAAGGAAATAAATCATAAAATCAAAATAAATGTTGTTAGTTTTTTTTCCTGAGATACTAAAAATAAATTGGATAAGGTTATATAAAGAGGTATGACCCAAAAAAATTATTCATTCTGAAAAAGTCAAGTTTAAAAGTCAGACGCAAAAAAAAAAAAAAAAAAAAAAAAATATGCAGTATCGTTGGTATTGTGAGAGTTTATTTGGATGTATTTACATGCAGGGACCCTGGATGAAAACTAAAATAGGAGCAATCCTAGATTATTTTGAAAATCATCCAGGAACATCTACTCAAGATATGTGGTTGGAAAAAAGACAGAAATTCTTGCATCCTAAAGGATCTAAGGTGAGGGTAAAAAATATACCATCATTATCAGCAGTACAAATGGTTGATCTTAGGTCGTTGTAAATTCCAGACTCATGTGGTTCTGGCTGAAGGTGAATGGTGCTGGAATATAGAACACTGTCTTCGTGATTTGTTCTGGAACCAACAAAAAGATGGACTGAGGATTCCTAGCTATTACTGTCCTACAGAGTACCTGTATTGTCGTATTCCTTTTTCCCAGATTAAAGATAGCTTGGAAAACGAAGAGGGCCAGTGTTTTGAGACCGTGATTCCTTACAGATCCGAAGAGGAAGAAGAAGTGTAATAATATGTCAAATAAATAAAAAAATAAAAAACAAAAAATGGTTGTTATAAAAAGAAGGGTCATAAGTTATTTTGTCTCAGTATCTCACTGAACATGGCCGAGAGCAGTAGTTTTTACATGACTTTACCTAGTGATGGGTCCATGCAATCTTTTCCGAGTAATACGACTGCTCAATTTAAAACCTTATTACCACAAACAGTAGATTTAACAGATGGACAATGGGAAGTGGCTTTAACAGAATTGATGTATCCCATTTCATTGAAAAACATCACAGAAGAGGAAGCTTATTTTGACATCCTGCTTCCTCAGTTTTATGCTCCAAAAGTCCAAGAACCTAATGTTTTTAAATGGGACAGATTTAAAATGAAAACCATAGATGCGATGCCATTAAGCGAATGTCCTGTACTGTTAGATCGGGCCCATACTAAATTTGCTAATCTCATAACGAAAGACCAGAAAATGGAAATTAGACGAATTCACTGTAGACCGGGGCCTTACATTCATCCCATGGCTTTAACAAGTGAAATCAGTCTTGGACTGGAAAGACCTTTGAAAAAATTATGGAAGTTTTAAGGTGATCCTAAAAAAGAGAATACCATGAAATTAACATATCATGACAAATATGATAAAGTGATGTATCAGTTTATGGGGAGAGAACTTAAAAAATATCCCTTTTGCATTCGTTTCCCCACAGCCTTAGCTTATAAGCTAGGAATAGAAAGTAAGAAGGTGATGCTTCAGAACGATACAGAAACCAAATGGATCAACGTTAGTTACATGTGTAACAATACCGTAGATTTATATGAAAATCTGAAATCCATGTACGTGTATTGTGACTTGATTGAACCCCAGACGGTAGGATCCAATGCCTTGAAATTATTAAGAGTGGTTCCTTGTACACTCAATCTGGAAGATAAAAAACAAGCTAAATGGGAACCCGTTAGAGCGGAATATTTGAAACTGAGTAAAAAACATTTCGATAGCATTGAGATTCATACCATGACTTCCTTTCGGGAATGGTACCGAACTTACCTATAGGGATGACTTTAAAAGAAGCTGTCCAATTAGGCTCAGGCCGGCGACAAAGAGGTCGAGGGTTTCTTAAAGATCTAGTCAAAATGGGTCGTAATCAAGCCTTGATTGCCGGAGCTAAAATAGGAGCAGATGTGATTAAAAAAAGGAAAAATATCAAAAATGCTCTTTTAACTCATGGACTCAATGCCGTTAAAAATACAGGCTTATTTGCTCTCAATAGAGGAGGAGGTTTAGCTTTTAAAAAGATGAATAAGAAAGGTCAAAAAGGTAAAGGGAGAAGAAAAAGAAGAAGAGGGCAGAGAGGTAGAGGAGTTTTGAGAGTTTACTGAAAACGGGAGCTAAACATGCCTTGACTGCTGCTGCTAGAACGGGGTTAGATGTGTTAGAAAATAAGAGATCTTTAAAAGACGCTGTCAAAACTCACGGAGTACAAGCCCTGAAACAAAGATTGAATCTAGGTAAGAAAAGAAGAAAAAAGACACCTGTGTTAGCCCGAGGAGGTCCTTAGAGAAAAAGAAAAAATCAAGGAGGCAGTATTCCCAAGAAGAAAAAAAGGGGTTTAGATATCTTTGATTGACACTATAAATAGGGGAGTCGAGTGATATTGACCTTCATTTGTGAAAAATCAATCCTAGTAGACACATCATGTTGCAACCAGATTCCTGTGCGTGTGGGATGAACAATTTAGAATTGTTCCAAGTCCCCCCGACTAATATTGCTTTAGAAGACTCCAAATGGGAAGAATATTACCCCATTTCCAGTACTTTAGATTCGGATACGGCTCCTATTGAATTTGAATTTAATTGACAAGGAGATCAATATCTGGATTTATCTCAAACGTATGTTCAAATAGTGTGTAAATTTAACAAAGATGATGGTAGTAATCTGACTGGAGCTGGCAGTACTTGCGCCCCGGTGAATAATATCTTCCATTCCTTGTTTACGGAAATCGATCTCAGTGTCAATGGAAAAATAGTGACTCCTGGAACCGATACTTATCCTTACAAAGTTTATCTGGAGAAATTACTTTCTTACAAACCCAGAACTTTAATGACACAGATGAGAGCTTGTAGTCTGTGGGAAAAAGATACAGCAGGACACATGGACGAAGAAGGGGTAGCAGACCTTGGAGTGGCTCAAAATAAGACATTTGATGTAACCCCAGGTGAAAATGGTGGTGCTGATACTGTGACCATTGATAAACCTATCATCCCAGAGTTACCGGCCAATTCTAAAAACGAAGGATTTAGAAAACGTCACCAGGCTATCAAAGATAGTAAGAATTTATTTCAACAAAGACCGATTTCTACCGAATGGAGTAGACGTCCGTTTTAGATTTAATCGAGCTAAACCTCAGTTCTATATGATGATCAAAGATGGAAGTACAGGAAAAGTCAAAATATTGAGCATGATCTTGTGGGTAAGAAAAGTCAAACCCACGGCCGTCATGATGAATGGTATTAATCAAAGTTTGAACACTCACAGAGCTAAATATCCATTGAGAAAAGTCGAAGTGAAAACCTTTACTCACAGGAACTCAATCTAAAATCACGGATCATCTGTTTCAAGGCCAGATGCCTAAACGCATCATTTTAGGTTTTGTGGACAATGCGGCATTTAACGGAGATAAAACTAAAAATCCGTTTCATTTCCAAAACGTGGGAATTAAGAAATTAGATTTCAGTATCAACGGAGAGACCATGAGTACTCGTTGTTTCGAACCTAATTTCAATGAAGATTTATATCTGAGATCTTATCTGAGTTTATATCAAGCACTGGGAAAATTAGGAGAAGATTGGGCCCCGGACATCACCATAGAAGAGTATAAAAACGGATACACTTTCTGGGGCTGGGATTTCACGAAAGATCAAGAAGCGCAATCGGATAAATTCCATATCATAGAAACCGGAAATCTGAGAGAAGTCCAATTTACGAACAATACGGTGAACACCTTAAATTGTGTGGTATATGCAGAATTCGATAATCTGTTAGAAATTAACAAACAGAGAGAAGTCAGTATTGATTACTAATGGATACAGGACAGTTAAAAGAAGTCTTATCCAGAGAATTAAAGAGTTCTTTTGGTGGAGTGTACCCTTTAGATTTATTACCGGATCAATTAAGACCTCAAGAAAAAGCCATTGTGGTGAATACGGATCCTGAAGATAAACCTGGAGAACATTGGGTATGCTTGTATTTGTCCAGTCCAGTCATCGAATATTTTGAATCATGGATTTCCTCCCTTACAAAAAGAAATTCAAGATTTTATCCATCGTCATGTTTAACAATGGATTTTTAATCCGTACCGATATCAAGATTGGAATACAGATGTATGTGGACAATATTGCGTGTATTATTTACATCAAAGACACAAGAAGAGAAAAACCGCAGATGAGTGGTTATTCCCCTTTGACCATAGTACAGCTTTACAAAGAGATCATTATGTAGCTCAATGGTTTAAAGACACTTATCATAAAAGACCTACTGGTCATGGACAAACTTGTCAATGTTTCTATCAAAATGTATTGTAATTGTTGTTTTTGTTATTGTTATCAATAAAAGAATTGAAAATAAATCTGATCTTGTTTTTTAAATTAAAAAATACTACTAAATAAAAAAAAAGGTATAAATAGAAGGTGTAAAATGAAAAATATCAGTTATTGATTTGTCTTAATCATGGGTAACACGTCTAGTAAAGAAAAGAGTAAAATTCAATTTGGAAAGAGAGTTCTGAGAGAGGAAGATGTGGATAAAGGTATACCAATTCAAATACATGAGGATGGGACTATTGAGATCATTTCTCATGAAAAATATCATCAATTATGTCCAGAAAATGATAATGATGTGAGAGATTACATTGAAAGACCCTTGAGTGCAGAAGAAGAAGAAGAATATACCCATTTATTACCAAAAACAGATTATCCTGAAAGACCTTTGACTGTAAAAGAAGCGGTGTCCAAAAAAAAAAGTATTTTGAGAAAAAGAAAAGATTGACACAGGATTGTAAAACCAAGAATCATTGTAGAATCTGAATAAAAAAAATAATTTTAAAATATCTTTGAATTGTTATCTATATAAAAAAAAGTGTGTGCCACAAAAAAATCATTGTTTCAAACATGAGTCTGACAGAAGGATTAATCATGGAAATCAGAACTCAATTGTTGAAAGACATGAGAACTCATTGTGAGAACAAACATAAAGAAGATCCAGGCAATCATTATATTGCCAAATTTAAAAAGGAGAGATTTAGAAGAGCTGCTAATTGGATATTTAATTTAACTGGAGGCCATCAGGAAGATATAGATCAAATCATTAGAAGTGATTATCAATACTCGATCTTACAAAAAGAAATGCATCCAGAAACAGGAAAACTTCATCATGTGAGAGGATTCCTTCAAATGAAACACTGGACCCATGAGAGAGACATGTACAAAATCATTCATGGGTTAACCTGTTTTGATATGTCTCACAGCACACCAGAATTAGAAAGAACATTTTATAGGCAAGGTGACAACTATGAAGAATATGGGACTTTAAAACCTGAAATGAGAAACAAAGAATTAATTCCAAGAGATTGTAGATTTACTTGAATAAATCCATTAACATTGAGCTTGTGTGTGTGTGTGTGGTTTTTCCCTAGACTGTGAATCACTGCCAAGTATGACGTCATAATATAAGGTTTTGTGTATTGACTGACTCAGCATAACGTAAACAAAACGTACACAGTACTGTCTCAATAAAAACGTAGGTCAAACATTTATTTTTGCACACCACCTCTGAGGGGTATAAATACAAGGTGTGTAAATGATCATGATCAGTTGAGTATAACCATGAGTCAAAGTCAGTTTGGAAAAAAAAACAGAGACTATGGATATAGATGAGGAGAAACAACAGTTATTAGAAAAAATAGAGACTATGAATATAGATAAGGAGAAACAACAGTTATTAGAAAAAAGATTGATCATGCCTATGGAAGAAGAACATTCCAGTCCTCAAAGAAGAATAGAAGTGAAAACTCTGGAGGATGAAGAACCCTGTAATGTTTACAAGAAGTATGATGAGATCCATGACCCAAAGGACTCATACAGAAGTTACAGAGTAGCCATTAACTGGACATTTGTCATCCATGATGTGAGGGAAGAAGAAGACATAGATATGTTCATGAGCTGTGAAGATGAATTTCGATACCTGATCCTAAAAAAGGAAATTCATCCCTGGACAGGAAAAGTGCATCAGATCAAGGGATTCATGCAAATGAAAGAACCTGTAGGAGGACTGACTGTGGCTAGAATTCACTGGTATGCAGATTTTTGTATGTCTCACAGTACACCAGAATTAGAAAGAATGTTTTACAGGCAAGGTGGCAACTATGAAGAATATGGAATTCTGAAACCTGAGAAGAGAAACAAAGAATTAGAGTCCAGAGATGAATTCGGGAAATGGGAAATTGGTTCCTGGAGAGGTTTCCTGGAAAGAAAGAGAGAAATGATCAAGAATTTGAAAAATAGAAATTAAAATCTTTTAACAGTTATTGTTGTTATTTTTTTGTTCAGGTTATATATAAAGGTGTGACATTGAAAAAAAAAATTATTCCTAAACATGAGTTTACAGGAGATACCAGGAGATTTATTAAACTTTCCTGTAGAAGCTATTGTACATCAATGTAATTGTTTGACTGTAAAAGCTCATGGATTGAGTCAAAGTATAGCTATGAAATACCCCAGAGCTAATCTATATGCGACCCGCAGATCTTTAAGGTCTAGAAATTTAGCCCTAGAAGAAGATAGAGGAATTCCAAGCACCCTTCAAGTGTTTTCTTTACAAAAACCCGTAGTCATTTGTCTGTTAGCTCAATGGGATTACGGAACAGGACATTATAATCGCCTACCTTATTATCAAGATACATGCACCAGAAAATAGAGAAAAATGGTTTCAAGCTTGTTTACAAGAATTGGGAACTTTACCTTACCAGAGTTATGCCTTTCCTTATAAAATAGGATGTGGTTTAGCAGGAGGAAATTGGACTCATTATAGACAATATATTGAACAATTTGTACACACTTATCAAAAACAAGTGTACATTCTTCATAAACATTGACTGTGTGTTATAAAGATTGACTGTGTTATAAATAAATAAAAAAAAATTGTGTTTATGTTATTTAATTTCTTAAAAAATGATTCATGTTTAAAAAAAAAAAATAGTGACCTGGTGTTTATACGTTTCTATAACCTTGAATGTTTTAGAGGTATCTTTTCGAATCATTAAAGTGGCCCTTAAAAGGGCCGTTGTTGATTTTTTTTATCAAGGGTTTACTCCCTGAGAGGCCTGCCTCTACCTCTGCCTCTGCCGCGGAACTCTGTTCTGCCTGAGAGGGGAGGTCGCTGGTTACCGGTCAACGGCTCCATAAAGTCCGGCCTGCCGGGTGGGGGTAGAGATGACTCTCTTGGAGGAGGGGGTCTCAATCCTCGCCCGCGAGCTGCATATCTCGAAAGCCTGCGTCTACACAGAGGGCAGCATTGGTTCATCTGTACCAGCACAGCTGAACACTCGAGACAAGCCGGTCGACGGCGACACTGGCAGCAGATGTAATTGGACATCCGATCCTCCTCCAAGCAAACTGCACAGGAATCCATCATGGCTGCTGCGACTTGAATCCCCCATCTAGGAATTGGCCCCGTAGTACTCACACCTGGTGACATCTCCGGGGTCGGGGGTGGTGGTGGTGGTCTAGCCAGCTCCGGGGAAGGTGGTTGTGGTCTAGCCAGCTCCGGGGAAGGTGCCCAGTCATCGTTGACGGGAGAGGACCAATCCGAATCTACGGAGGAATCCCACTGTCCAGCAGCTGCTCCCGGGGGATGAGGTGACCAGGTAGGAGTTGGTGCTCTTCTTGTAGGGGACGGGCTTCTCGGGGTGTCCTCGAGTAGTTCCGGACTACTCAGAGGGGCCGAATACGAAGCAGATGGTGTTGAATCTGTCCTCCTCCTCCTTCTCCTTGGCTGGTCAACTTCATCACTGTTAGACGGCGATCTTCGTCTTCTTCTTCTTCGTCGTCTTCTTTCTTGTCTCCTTCCCCTGATCATGTCACTGGCTAGGCCAAGGGTAGCTATCGGCTAGCGAGCTAACTCCCTGCCGGTGGCTACGTCTCTGACGATCCAAACATTTTCAATCTCTACCCCTGGAAAAATGTAGAAGTTTTGGACATCGTCCTCAGCCATACTGATACGGTGTCAGCAGAACTGATACTAACAGAATGACACCGAGCTCTGGCAAGCTGCCGTATTTATGCGCACAGCACGAGCGTAAAATAGAGCACCCTAAAGCGAGAGCCAAAAAAATCATGGCGACGTCAAATTGTGTTATTTTGTGCTTCACAAACTATACATTGGAGTGAATAACTTATTATGGGATTAGAAATACATGATAACATCTTAGCCATCAGATGAAGGTAAGTTTCAGGCATGATTTCATAGTATTTTTGATGCATGACATTTATCTGTCGTCTAGAAAAGAAGCATTGATGTTGAACCGAAGGACTAAAATCGGGTCACCTGAATACATAAAATAAGTATTCTAACCTTTTTTAGAGTGTGATACAAGGAAAACTTAATCTATACAATGAGATTAAACCTAGGGAAAAGTGTTGATGCTGTTTTTAAATCAAAGGAATGGTTTCAAGTGTAAAAATATACCCAGAGTCTGTTTAAGCATAGACACAAGAAGGCGAAGGTCGGCCTTTTTTTTTTTTTTTTTTTTTTTTTTTTAGAAAATCACTGTATAGACTTGTATAGAGAATATAGGATTTTTTTTAAATCGTGACCTTTTCTGACTGGAATTTTTAAATAAATAAAATCAGTTTAGTTGAAAAACAATCTGAATCCACTTTATTTCCTGTGGGAATGTCTAGATGTTTTATAAATAACAATATTGAAAAAATACAGCGTCTTATTACAAGGCACAGCATTCTATACACATAGGCATGATTTTTTTTAGGAATCCTGAAAGATTTTGAGATAAAACAGAATCGGATTA